AACAAACATACCTAATACTCTTGTCTTTTATTTTCCCCGCAACAACCACCATCCTGTGAGGTGGGTTGGGCTGGGCTGAGAGAGAGGGACTGGCCCAAGGTCACCCAGTTGGCTCCATGCCTAAGGTGGGGCTAGAACTCACGGTCTCCTGGCTTCTAAGCCAGCATCTTAACCACTACATCAGACTGGCTCTCTTATGACCCAAAGAAACCTTAGCTCTCTTCTGATACTGTTCCTCAAATAAAAAAAGAAAATGAGGGGGGAAAGAGGATTATATTTGATTTGTTCCCCACTTGCATCTCCCAATACATACCTGTTGTACTCCATTTACCAGGATAGCAAACTTACATAGTAGCAATGTTCTTCCTGGAGAGGCTCTCTGTGGGATATAGGTGGCCAAACCTCTTTGTTGTGGAGTCGTTGGTGCTCTCTGAGCTTGGTTGTTTGCTTGCAGACATTTCATTACCCAACTAGGTAACATCATCAGTGCACAACTAAGCTCAGAGAGCCCCAAGGATTCCACAGTTCAACCCTGACCTACTTATACTCTCTTCTATTGTAACTTCTTTGTTGGTTTGTTACTGACACAACTCTCTCTGATATTCATTCATTCATTCATTCATTCATTCATTCATTCATTCATTCATTCATTTTGCATGGTCACCCATCTCAAATTCATGACTCTGGGCAGCAAACAAGATTTAAAAAGCACATAACAAAATTATAAATACTTTTGAGACTGAAAACAAAACTACGAGGTCAACGAAGGGTGAAGACAATCCATTGTTCCAGTACCTGGATCAGTGCTTGTAACAAAATTAAAACAGCTGAATGAGATCTCTTATAATGCCCTTTGTTCTCACCAAGATATAATATTGTCCTCTGGCCATTAGATTAGACAAATGGCAAAGTGAAAATGTGTTATTCTGTAAAGGAAGCGGGTTAATCTAGCCTCTCTCTTGCAGTAAGGGAGAGAGATCTTCTTAGCTGCATAATTGGGTATGGAGAAATTGCTTCCTACTTAGACGTTTTGTTGCTGTCCCTAACATTTTGACATATTTAATTTTCTTACCATGCTTCTTGCTACGAGTCCCAAGGAAATACTTCCCCCACTAGAAATGCCTTCTGTTTCCAGCATGAAATGTTCAGTGTGTACTGGATAAGATTCTGATACTATAAAAAGAAGGGCAGCTGTTAGAATGTGTCTGCTTGCAAGAGGACTGAATTCTGGGCATTAACCAGTGAATAACTTCTTCCAAACGTGTGTATAACATGTAGCCCCAAATCCCCTCCTCGCTCTCTGTGGGGTGTTTCCACAGATCAGAGTTTGATCTGTGTGAGACAAACTGATTCCAGTTAAAATTCAACAGAGTGAGGGAACCCTTCTCGCAAGTCAGTCTTATGCATTTGATGTGAAACTGCTGTTAGCTGGAGGATTGGGCCCAGCAGCATATCTGCTGTCTATGTATATGAGCTATTCAGGTTAATGTTATTTATTTGTTTCTGCATACATACATTCAGGACTGCTGTGGTCCCATTTTGCCACCCCATTAAGACTGGCATCAGCTGACATTTCTGAAGAGTAGTTCAACATAGTTCATGGGTAGCTCGGTCATTAATCTAGCCACAAGATAATTTTTATGTCTCTCCACATGCATTTTCTGCTGCCTAAAGGTCTTCCTACATTATCAACCCATTGCAACAAACCAGGAGAAGCTGGACTAGTACATATATCATGGCCAGATTATCACTGTCTAAGCCAAGATATAGCTGAGTTGTTGTTACAGCTGAAACTAGAGGGAAGACCTCAAAATGGAGGGCCTCTAACAACCAAATGAGGACCTCCATTTACATGGCTGTGGATTCTGGTGTAGTGGCCTGTGATTGTAACTGTGGTGAACTCAACTTAGGACAGACCCTCTTTGTATCTGGGATGTGGAATTTGGCTCAGCTGAGTTTGATTGGCTCTGATCTATGCTCAGCGGTGCCCTTTTTCCTGTGGGCAAGTGTTTCTGATCTTGGAATGAGTCACCTCTGACTCTTCTTCCACAAGTTGCTCAAGACAGAAGTAAAGCAATTAGTGTTACTCAGTATAATTACACTGCACTGACACTGTAAATAGACATAAAACAGAAGTAGCATAACAAAGCAATTGTCACTACCTGGCAGGTTACACTGTCTGACTTGGTTTCACTTGATTTAAACCACAGATTACTGGAAATATTCAGTCATGATAAAACTTGAGCGTTCTAAAAGTATGTTTAACCCAAAGAAAAAAGTATGTGATGTAACTAGGACACTTTTGTGAATTGCTACTGTGTTAAGGACAAGTTGGTCAAGTATCTTCCACAAACACTTATTTAGGTCCCATCTTAAGCCCCAGGATAAAATAAGAGGCTGAAAGTTTGGTGTTGTACCCAAAGGAAGTATTTTGGCACAAGAGAGAATGAGTTTAGATGCTCTCTTTTGGCATTCTGCACTAAAACATTTGTCCTTCCAAGATATTATCTATGGGGAAGACTCCTAATAAGTGATATGGCAAGTTAAGATATAGGCTTTTCACCTCTGGAGACCCTGAGTTCAAATTTCAGTCTGGACTGCTGAAGTGAAAATGTGTTTCCCCAAGTAGAAGAAATCACTTGGCATCTGTTACAATTTGGGATATTGTCAAGTGGTGCCAAAGGACAAGAGAACACTGGAATGGTGACAGATTGTTGTGAATTGGGGACTGAAACATGCATGCAGAATTTCACAAGTCTTCCAATCAACTGAAGAGAACAAATCGAGTAATCAAATAATTTAAAGCCATTAACTAGATTTTGAAGAAAAATATGATTATTTGTGAAATGCCAACTCTCAGTGTAGATTAAAGCAACCATATCTGGGCTGCAAAACTCCGCAAAATCACTAGATAGCAACAACTTCTAAGAGTTTCGGTACCTTTTTGCTGCTTATGGTCAGTGAGACATGGTAGCCCTACCCCATTAATCTCCTCTAATGGGCACCACCAGATAAAAGGCAAAATCAAATCAAATGTTAAAGAGGGACTTCAGTGAATGAACTGGCTTATGTCAACACTTTTTCCCTACAGAAATATCATATGGTTATAGATTTACCATAACACTTGAGAATCCCAGTTCTGGTCTATTTACTATGGATTAACCTTTTCGGATATACACTTGCTCATCATTTAACTATAGATTCAACAATGCATATCCATTCAAGAGTAAGGTGTAATAGTGTATGTTGAGGGCCAGTTTGGTATAGTGGTTAAGGCACCGGGCTAGAAGAAGACCATGAATTCCATGAATTCTGAAGGCCAGTCCCTCTCTCTTAGTCCAGGGAAGATGAAGGCCAGGGCCAACCACTTCTGAAAGTCTTCAAGAAAACTGCAGGGAATATTCAGGCAGTCACCAGGAGCCAAGAATAACTTGAAGGCACCAATAATATGAAGCCTCCACTCCCCCTTCTTGAGAATAAAGAACCTGTCCCCCTGCTGAGTTGAAGGGCTAGCTACCCATCCATGAGCTGGTGGGCAATTATTCCAGCATGGAATCAGCTGCCCCCTTCCTTGCCTTGTCCCCACCCACTGCAGTCCCTTGACTTCCCTCCAAGATAATGGTGGCAAAGCTCCACCTATTTTACCCACCTTGTGGCTGCTTTTGGATGGCCTCGGAACCAGGGAGAAAAGAAAGTAGTTTGACGTAGATACCTCTAAGAACAACTTAAGCCTGTCTCACTCCTGGGATGGAGATGAGACGAAGGCCATGCCATTAACTTATGTCTTGAGAGACGTGCTTAAAAGTGCACGGTTAGTCTGTACTCACTTATCCAGGAGCAAAAGCGGTTGAATTCACCAGCATTTTGGAGTGCTTATTTACATACTTATTTAAGTACTTATTATACATGTACTTATTTAAATTAGGGCTGCTACATCTGCACTGCAAAAATCTTGGTATCTGGTAGGTGTCAGCGAAGAGAGATTTGTGCATCCCTGTATCTTTAATGCACGCTGTTTCCATGGGAAGAACTTATCCAGAACAGCTTTAACGCTGAGTCTAATAAAGTCACCAATATGTTGAGCCTCAAGTGCATTTGTGATTGGAGAAAATGGTAAAGATGTAGTATTGGATAAGTGCCAGCACAAGTTATAAAGAAAAATACTTTCTCAGCCCATCAAACTTTATTCTATACCCTGTTGTATATCTGGGACATTACCAACACTGGTTAAATAAATTCATTTTTAATAAGGATGGAAGAACTCCAGCTCTATTTTCTGTCCTTTTGGGAAGGAATCCATATTCTGATTATCCAGATGTTTATTTGGATTCTCGTTTGCAGTTTCATACGTCTTTTTTTAAGGTTTGCCTGCTGCCATTTGCATCACTGCAAACCTGATTGCTTTATGCAGACATGGAGGAAAACACAGATGTTCCCTCACACCCTCCTACGTGAACATTCTGTGGGCTTGTCTTGCCGGGGAGGGACATTTGGGAGTCCTTCACGGGCATCCTGACCACCACTGCCTCAACAGATGCTCCCAGATGCCACTCAGAACAGCCTGAAAGTAGAACGTCAACACTAGAGTTTTTAGGGAAAGTGTTCATGGGGGAGTTTGCAAAACATTCCCTGCTGCAATTTTTATGGATGCCATTCCTTTTCTGTGCTGAACGGTCCCTCTTTCAATCTCCCACTGGAAAGCAACTAACTTGGGGACTGACTGCCTTTACTTCCATGAAGAGTTCAACATTTGGGTCAATACACTGTCCTTTGCTTGCCCTTCATTTGCAACCCCTCTCTTTTCCTTTTTTCAATCTGGCTTGCCTGCCCTTAAAACTTCTGCATCAAGTGAGTTCCTCCCTACTACCACTCTTGGCTTGGGGGAGCAATTAGTTTCTGCAGGACTGTGGACGCAGAGGAAAGCCGGTGGGCAACTGTGGCTTTAAGAGATCCACCTTAAGGAAATGCCTGCCCTTCCCCTCCCTTGCCCTGAATGGGCAGCGTCACCGGGATAGCAGAGGTCAAGCCAGTGTGCAAGGAGAGCTCCAGAAGAAGGCAGACCCGAGTCCGTGCAGTGCATCTCCCGAGCTGCTCCCAGGTAGAGGACCAGCGGCGGTATTTCATTGCCATCTGCTGCACTAACCCTCTTTCTCCTAATAGTCCACGGTTTCTCTTTCCATCTGACTACTTTGCACTGACTGCATGATAACTGATCTGCTGATCTCTCTCCCCTTCCTGCCACTTGTTCCTGACTGCTCTTTGTGTTTCTTGCAGTGCCTCTCAAATTGCTTGGGTTTCTTGACTGCTTTAGGAGAACGGATCAGCCCCTTGTGCCCCGTGCCGGTGGGGTTGACTGCAGACCATTGGCTAGCCAATCCCACCAGTTCAGCTTTTTATCCCCTCTCCTTCTCCCACTTCTCAGCCAGCTCAGGCCATTTGCCTCCTGCCTTTCCACTGCTCCCAGATACCTAAAGCTACTTTTATCTTTATAACCCACTTTCCCACAACCTTCCCATACCTGCAGGTTGGTTAAGAGATGAGGATGGGAACGATTCGGACCTATTGTTTGGCACTTTTTCTTTTCCTCCTTTCAGTGAAGAAGCCTGTATCATGGCACAGCTTTTGTTCAGCTGGAAATAAGTGATAAAATATTCATTAGCAGAAGCGTTCCAGAATGGATGACTCAGCACCCACCTTTGTGATTGGACATATAGATGGTCCACGCGCAGTCCAATTTTCTCCATCCTGAGTCCAAAATAAACATGTAGAATTCATTTCACTGGCAGAGAATCACAGTTTGGTAGCAAAATTCCAAATAGCAGAAAGAGTTGCAGGTTTCTGCAGCCCAGATATGGTAGCCCTACTTTTTTAATCTTTTCTGCTATTAACAAAATAGGCTTTTCCCCATTTCTTTGAAATCATCTAGATCAAACTCAAAAACAAGGGTTGTTTTCTATCACTACACCAGAGTGTTATACACTTTAAATTGCACACACCACACCACAAAGTTTAAAGCAATGCTTCTACAGGCTTTTTAATAGAGAGGAGCCAAATGAAATCCGAACTTTTATCCAAACAGGTAGACCTTCAAGTAGACTCCTAAACTTTAAACCAAAATACCTGATCCTCAAAATAATTTGTCAACTTTTACTAAAAGTATCTTAAGCCATTTCTGCATAATCTCATACAAAGATTTAAGAATTTTGTTTGTTTAAATTGCAAGCAACAGATATTCTGTGCCCAATTAGATCTTTTGGTATGCTTGTGTGCAACATAATTCTATGCCTCAAGAGCAAATATAAGTTCATGAAGAGCTGATAATACCTAATACTATGCCTGAGAGCATATTTAATTAATGTGAAGGTCTTAATACTGCCAACTTTCTGGACTCTCCTAGGAAGTATTCCCCCAGCTTCTGATGCAAGTAAGCTAGCCTTACAATGCACAGTGTAAAGGAGGAGGAGGAGGAAAAGGGAAATTATCAGCTGTGATTAAGTCACATGCTATTTTTATGTGTCTTTCTAACTGAGAACAGCTCCATACACTAAAGCCAAGGGATCAGATCCAACTAAACCTTGTCTCTTTAGTAATTTAAGTGACTTGCTGGCATCATGGAGAAATGCTTTCCATTATTGTAACGCAAGTCTCAATTTAGCAATCTCAGAATTTCTGACCCTATAAGCAGCTGCTGCTGGATTTCCACCCTCACCCCCCACCCCCTGCAGCGGAGCGTTATATTTTTAAATTGGCAGCTTCCCTCTAAAACTCATAATTCAGCCGAAAAAAGAGAAACAGCATTTCAAGGTAGGATGACTATATTTCAAGTTATTCTTAAACTTGCTAGACAGTCATTTATTCACACAATCCATTCCTGGGCGCTCTAGAGATAATCTTTAATGACATTCTCAGCAACCTCTCTAAACTACAAGTCCCAGGATTCTTTGAGGGAAGATGTAGTGTTGAAAAACCTCTTTAATATAAGAGGATTGGCAAGTTATTTTTATGTTATTTAAAAGCTTTACATTCCATCCACTCCCTTTATGTCTTTGGGGGACTAACCACAATCCTTTAAAATATCCATAAAACCATTTTTACATAAAAATAACAAATCTACAACCATAACATTAAAAGGGCTGGATAAATAAGTATATTCTCCTGAAACTGCTTTAGCACAAGGGTGGTATCAGAGATGCCCCATTCAGTATTGATGGTATCTGGGCTAGATGATTTCTGGATCATTTTCAATGTCTGTCCCACAAACAGTGCATTACAGTGATCCTGTTGTGAGGTTACTGGTTTATTCTCCAGACCTTTGCTATCTTATGGTCGGGAGACATATGGAAATCTGGGAGATAGCCAACCCTGAGCAAACAGGGAAGGAGAAATCTAGATAAGTATCATCAGAAGGCTGGTGGCTTATAGCCCTGAATGTGTGAATAATCATTTCCAGTGATATAACATCAGGAACTAGAATAACTGACCCAAATAATTCCTAGGAGGTCAAGCAGATGTCTTCAACCACCACCTTTTATTAGTGCCCGGAAATGTAGGAGTAGATCCACCACAAAACTGTGCCTGCATCTTCCAACTGTACCAAGTTCTCCAACAAGATAACATGGTTATCCTGAAGGGATCCTGAAGCATCATCAGGGCAACCCTCTGCCTGTCATTCTTCCAATGTAGGTCATCCATCTGCAAGATCAAGGAGTTTCTCTACCAGATCTAGATCTGAATCTAGTTGGAAGGGATCAGAATAATTTGTTTCATCCAAGAGCGCCTGGACCTGAAGTGCCACCACCTTCTCTACCAGTTTGGCCAAATATGGAACACTGGACACCAGCCGATAGTAGTTAAAATTGGCCGGGTCCAAATATGGCTTCCTAGGATGGCTTCTTAATTATTGCATCAATTATACAGATTTTCTTGCTCTAAATAGCCCTATCCAGAGACTGAAAGAGAATGAATTATTTAAGGCAATCTGATATGTCCAGCTGAGGCTGCTTATTTCCAGATAACCAAAATCAAAGCCTATGATTTATTTAATATTTAAACCTTTTCCCTACCCCTATTTTCCTATCAGCTTGCAACATAATAATAAAACTCAACTCTGTAAAAGTTATATAATTATTAAATCAAAACCGAATTACTGTTTGCATTCTTAAACTATTCAGAAGGCTTTTAGGAGCAGAAGTGTATTGAAATACAACCCTGTAACAATGTATTCAGCACTTCCATGTGTTGAAGATAATTTGGGTTCCCTATCTGGGAAACTTCTCTTCTCTTGCTCAGTACAGTAAATGGTAGGTGGGATTGTGTTGCTCCCAAACCAGCCAACTTCACTGAGTCTTATCCCTTAATCTAGTCCTTAAATATTTTGTAACTCTAAGCTACAGCCAGAACAATGATCTGATTTGGTAAGTTTAATTTCTGATCTTTCTCTGGGCATTTGTTTGGCTTGTTTGAGAGTTAATAGTTTATGGCACAAGTGCTCATTGGTGGTTCTCTACCACATCTGGTAAAGCTGTGTCCCACCACTCAGAGCTTTCAGGACCTTGGACAATGACCAAGAGGCCTGTTCCCTTGTACAAAGGAACTATTAATCCAACAAAGGACTACAGACAAGTGAGAATTTTGATAGTGTTCAGTTCTTGAAGGATCTATGGCTGTTTCTGGAGCCTCATGGACCTGTGTGTCTGAGGGACAGCAGAAACTGAGATAGCAGTCTCAGGGTCTGAGGAAAGTGTTCTGTCCTCATCCCAAGAATATACAGAAGAAGATGGCAAAAACTCACCTTACAGTGGGAAAATTTGTGACTATCAATGCTGAGTTTTCCTTTGGGTGATGCTGAGCCTCTTAACTAGAATACATCATAGACATGTCATCGCTCTACATACTGGTACAATTTTTCTTCTCTTTAGAGAATCTTGAGGACTGTTGTTTTATGGAGATAGGATGAACAATCACTAGTAGAACTTTCTTGGATGTGTCTTACTACCATTCCAATGAATCTCTAGATGATGCATGATTTCTAAACTAGTATAGGTCCTACATTAATATAGGTGTGGAGAAATGTAGACAATTTAGGTTGTGTTCATGCCTATCATAAGTGTGAGATTCATTTCTGTTCTTCATTATCATTCAAATTTTACATCTCCAGAGTTTGGTAAGAACTTAAATCCCTATATTTCTCTAAGATAAGTGGAGATTTCATTGTTTATAGAGATCTCAGTGCATGGGAGAGGAACATGTGCACAGAACAGCTTTCTTCTGTGCTTTTCCCAAACTCTGGAGTGCATTCCTTTCATAGTTATGTCTGACTTATGCTTTCTCAGTTTTTAGAAAAGCTGCATCGTTCATTTCAATCTGGACTCTTAAACGGTTTTCAGTAGCTTAATGTTTTATGAAGTTGTTATTGTTTGCTGTATGGTATTTTATTTGGATTTATACATCACCCTGATGGCTTCTTCAGAGGGATGCTACGGTATAGAAATACTAAAAGTAACTCAAGGCCTAGAAATCTAAAGAAGAGGATGCCAAAGTCCACCACTTCCACCTTCTCTTAGGCTTCTTGCGTTCCCAAGGAACTCAAACTCACTCAGTTCCTGTTTCTCAGAGGCATCACTGAGCCCCGTTTGCCGCATTGATAATGCCAGATCCTCTGATGATACCGTGTTGCCCCATCCATAGCTTAAAGACGAATGCTAGGAAATGACCTTGTACATGGTTGTGTTTCTGATATTTTGAAATGTCTATAGCTTTTGCTGATGGTTGTGGAACCCCTTAAGCCTTTCCCTATATGCAGAGTGGACGAGATTGATAATTTCTGACCTGCTTTAGTGGTGGGGTGGGTGGGAGGGGTTACAGGAATTGCTCATTCTTTGCTGCCATTTGGTGGTCGACAGGATTTTTGCAATCCACTTCTGGAAGGCTTAGATGAAGAAATCTCTATGGAAAAGAAAGACATTTTCTTCCTATACTTAATATTTAATCTTTATTATAACTAACCATAAAATTAAAACATTAAATGCTATACAAGAATGCTTATAAGCCATAATGGAGATTTCAGAAATGAAATAATAGGAAAATTAATAAGACTTG